GCGCGATTTTCTCCAGCCCTCTGCCCCCTCCGGCCATTAATCCGGCTGGGAGAGGGACACGGGGGCAGCCGGAGCTCTGCTACGTCACCGAACAACTCACAGTGTTTTCCCGGTGCTGCAGCCCTGGCCAAGGGCAGCAGGGAGCTCATTTTTGGGGGAAAGGATGAGAATTTGGCCTCTTTTCCTGCCTGGTTGCAGCCTCTCCAATCCACACAATCCCCAGTGCCTTTAACAAGCAGCATCTCCCAAAAGCTTGGGGGGAAAAAAACCTCATTTCAGGCACAGCAGCTTCAAGGGACCTTTGCAAAAGGCTCCCTGACTCACGAGTGACAAATAAGCAGCTGTTCAATCTAGCCTGGGCGGACAGCAACGCGCAGCCTCACCGAAGCAGAAGGGAAGATAAATTTAACCACGGCCGCGGCCAGTTGTCCAACATGATTAAATGTGCAGCGAGCGGGGATGTGCTCCTGGTATTCCCGCCTCGGATGGCTCCAGCCTCCCGGGATTCAGGGAGCCAGCAAGTGCCTTTCCCGGCTCCGGGAGGAAGAGCACGTGGGGTGCACCGGATTTCATGGGCGCTGCGTGTCGCAGCGATGCCAGTCGTGGATATCCCAGCAGTGGCTCTGAGAATTCATTTTTCTGGCTTTATCCCCTTGGATACCATGTTGGGCATCTTGCTTTTAACTGCCCCTCTCCAGCTGGTGTCACGGCTGGAGATAGCAGGTCCTCGCTGCCCTCGCCCCGGCCACCGAGGCTCTTCAAGCCTGCAGGTCTCATCCAGGTGGAAGTTTTAACTGCTTGACACGCTGAACTGCATCACAGCTGCTTCTGGCTGGAGATGAGAGCTGCAGGGGGCGAAAATAGGGGGAAAAAAAAGTGAAATCAAGCCCTCCAGGAGCAGCAATTCCACGTCCTGTGGGATTGCAGGACCTGGTCTTGCAGCTGCCTGGCCCTTGGCAGCTCCGTTCCTGCAGCTTGGGGCACCTCTGGGTGCTGCTCATATTGGGTGCAGCGTCTCCCACTCTGTCTCTCCCTTCCTTCCAGGTGACCTGCTGAATGAGGTGGAGAGGAGGCAGCAGGTGAGCAGCTCCCGCAGCTCTGGATGGACGGGAATGGGGAGATCTGCCGGCAGTGAGGGCCCGGAGAAGCTGGAACCCCCCTGCTTCCTCCTGAGAGCCCTCTTCCTCCTCCTCCTCTGCCAGCATGGTAAGGAAGCGGGTGGGCAGTCGTGCCAGAGCCGCGTCCATGGCAAGAAGAACCAGGGGGAACCACAGCCCGAGGGTGCAGAGGGGGTGAAAAACAGAGCAGAGCTGCTAGGATGTGGCCTTCAGGCATGCAAAAATCAAGGCACTTTCATTAGCCAGAAAGTTTACTATAGAGAGATAAGTCCTTGCAGCAAGAGTTTCCATCTCCAGCAAGGTCTGGAATGGTCCAGATGGAGGGAAGCGGTGGGAGGAGAAGGGGCTGCCCCATCCCCAGCGCTCCAGCCCTCCTGGGACGCCCGGGGCCATCCCGTCTCTCCCAGTTTCTTCCCAGTGCAAGATCCTGCGCTGCAACTCGGAGTACGTGGCTGCCACCCTCAACCTGCGCGGCCCCGGCAGGAACGCGGCCTTCTGCAGCGCCCTGCGCTCCTACTCGCACTGCACCCGCAAGACGGCCCGCACGTGCCGGGGCGACCTGGCCTACCACTCCGCCGTGCACGGCATCGAGGACCTCATGATCCAGAACAACTGCTCCAAGGAAGGGCCTGTCTCACCGCCCCGGCCCCGGCCGCCGGGCCCCAACCACCACCAGGGCTTGGAGCCCCTGGATATCTGCAACTACGAGAAGAGTTTCCTCTATAAGCACGGGCAGCCCCCCAGCTACCAGCACTGCGCGGCCTTTGGGGACCCCCACATCCGTACTTTCCATGACGACTTCCACACTTGTAGGGTGGAGGGCTCCTGGCCCCTCTTGGACAACGACTACTTGTTTGTGCAAGCCACCAGCTCGCCGGTGGCCAAGGGCTCCAACGCTACGGTAACTAGCAAGGTAATGTTCTCACCTGGGGCTTGGCGGCAAATCCCTTCATTTCCAGGAGGCAGGAATGGCTTCGGGAAGTCCCTGCAGAGATGATGGCCCCGTAACCGAGATGATCCCCCTGTAACCGAGATGATCCCCCTGTAACCGAGATGCTCCCCCTGTAACAGAGACGGTTGCCCTGTAACAGAGATGGCAGATGCCCCCGTGTCACCTTTTCCCGTGAACTGCCACCTATTTCACAGAATCACACAACCATTAAGGTTAGAGAGGACCTCTGGAGATCATCTGTCCAACCCCACCGCTCGAGCAGGGCATTTTGGTGCTTGAAGTGAGGATGTGCTACAAGGGCTGGGGGGGGCAGCAACAGCTTCAGCTAAATTCCCGTGGGATCAGGAATGAACGCTCCCAGGATCAACTGGGATGAAGGTCCTTGGGACCAGGGCGAGCTGCGAGTGTCCCATGGCCCGGCGGGATGACACTGCTGCCCGGGACGGCCGTGTGCCCATGTGTCATCTATCCAGGCCCTGGCACTTCTCCTTTTGGAGGAGGGAAGGACACAAAATGTTTCCTAGCAGGACCACAGCGATGTGGGCGAGCTGGGATGGGGCAGAGGGGGACGCTCCGGTCAGGCAAACGCGGATGGACTGGAACCTGGGGTGGGGAGGACCGGTGTCACGGAGCCAACTGCTTCTGCTCTGCTCTCTATGCAGCTCACCATCATATTTAAGAACATGAAGGAGTGCGTGGACCAGAAGGTCTACCAGGCGGAGATCGACAACCTTCCCGCCGCCTTCGAGGACGGCTCGGTGAACGGCGGCGAGCGGCCGGGCGGGAGCAGCTTGGCCATCCGGGAACACGCGCCCGGGCGGCACGTGGAGATCCGCGCCGCCTACATCGGCACCACCATCGCCGTGCGGCAGGCCGGGCGCCAGCTCTCCTTCTCCATCCGCGCGGCCGAGGAGGTGGCGCGCGCCTTCACGGAGGAGCAGGACCTGCAGCTCTGCGTGGGCGGCTGTCCCCGCAGCCAGCGCATCTCCCGCAGCAAGTGCGGCCGGGGCCGCGTGGCGGCCGAGACGGCCCGCGCGCTCTGCAAGGAGCTGCTGCCCGTGGAGGACGTCTACTTCCAGTCGTGCGTCTTCGACGTGGTGACCTCGGGGGACGCCAACTTCACCATGGCTGCGCATGGCGCGCTGGAGGACGCCCGCGTCTTCCTTCCCGACGCTGAGAAGCTGCACATCTTCCAGGCTTCGGCAGGCTGCCGGCAGGCTCCTTCCTCCTTCCTCCTCCTCCTCCTCACCTCTAGTCTTTGGGCTATTCGCTTGCACTTTTAGCTCTCGTTGGCCGGCGCTCGCTGGCCTGACGTCCAGCACAGGGGACACATCCAAGAGACAGCCCAACGGGGTAAGGCGAGAGCTGCTGACTTGGGAATTGTGCCTTGTCCGTCAAGAAGATTCCTTATCTTGGATCGAATATCTGCAGCAAGGACGGTTGGAGAGCCAGGTCTTCGGAGGGGAGCGCTGGGGGTGAACGACGGGGAAACACTGTTTGTACCCACCGTTCTCAGCAGCGTGGAGGGTGTCACGAGTCCAGTTTCCTTCCTCTCCCCGAAGGCCATCCGCACATTAGTATTTTGGATTATTATGCAAGTTTTCCTCCTAAAGATCAGGACATGGCAAGTCGTATCAAAGAAAAAGAAACACGCAAAGGTGAGAGCATTTTGACCACTTGGAATAGGTATTTAGAGAACTTCCCTGACCCACTGGGCCTTTGAGTGCTCCTGGAAGGTACAAATTGGGTACGAGGTATCGGTCCTTGCAGCAGGCTTGCTCTGTGCATCTACGGTGGAGTTACTACAGCAGACTTTTGCTCAGGAACCTGACAGATTTAGAAAAAATCTGGGCAGTTCACATTTTGAACAGTCAGAAATAATTGTTTTATGGATCTGGGGTTCCTTGACCTACCTGCTGCTGAAATCATGTTAGAGAGAAGCAGTCACTGGAATGATGTGACCAACGTTTGCTGTTTCCTTTGCTGCAGGAGCTAGAAATTAAACTTATTTTACTGTATTCCCCTTCCTCGGGATTAGCAGCCGAGACAGTAACGTTGCATTAGTGCTAATTTCTAGTCCGCTGGTGCTGCAAAACATCAGGTCTCTGAAATTTCATCTACTGTTGCTATTTTTCTTTGTGGTTGTCTCGGCACCTGTCTCGGACTCAATATAGCAAGTTCTGGACTTTGGACCAGTGTTGAGTTTCAGTGAGGTGGGAGAGAGAAAACGACCCGGTGCCCCTCTCCCTCGGGTCCAACTTTCCCTGGTGCTGTCGCAACCCAGCTCCAACCCAACCGATGCTGTTGGAATGACTCGGAAAAGGAGGATTAACAGCAAACACAGTGAGCTGGCAAAAAGCCACTTGACTGTATGGATGGGGAGGTGAACTATTGGTGTACATAAATATTGAGGGGAGGCCAAATTAGATGTTTAATATATTTCAGAGGTTTTAAGAAAAGTGCATAGAGTTCTATTTGTTAACGGATATTTTCCATATGCGAAATTTTTTTTTTTTTTAATAAAGAGGGCTCATGTCAAAACCTTCTCCATCCTCGTCCTGGGGAGCTATAAGAGGAGCTGCTTCTTCCTCTGTCTCTTTTGGACAAAAGGGAATACAGAGAAGTTTCTATATCAGCACGTTTCCTTCCCCAACGTACACTCACAGCACATGGTAGCGAGCTCCTCCAGCGCTTGCGCGGTGCTCGCTGAACGTTTTGACATTAAAGGTGTCTATTTTTGAAGTTCTCATTTCCTGTCATCTGTCTCTCATTTCTTTGGTCGGCAGCAGCAGGTGAAGATAATAATATCTCGCCTCCCACCCACCGCTCCTTTTACTCCGGAGCGCTCCGCAGTCTATATCCGTGCTCCGAAGGGACAGAGGAACATGAAGGCCACCGATTGCAGCACCGAATACGCTGCAGCCCTAACCCTAACCCTGCAGAGAACAGGGTTAATGCTCTTGGAGGTCCTTGGAGAAGCAGGATTGATTCTATCCAGCAATAAAAAGGTCTGCCTCTTGGGGGCAAAATGCTCTTTGGCTCCTCAGGAGCAACTAATGCAGCAGGGACACACGTCCCTGCTGGAACAGGGGGTTGGACTGGGTGGTCTCTAGAGGTCCCTTCCAACCTCAACCGTTCCGTGACGTTTTATCGTGCAGAATGCAATTATCCGCTAGATTTTGGTTGCTCTATCCGGCTAATGCATGGCAGGGGGACGGGGTGGTGTTCCCAACGGGGACCAAAGCGGAGCGTGCCGAGCGCCGGCCCGGCTCCGCGCAGGCTGCTCCTCGGACTCCCCAGCTTGGCAAAGGCCCCGGCCGGGAAGGGGGAATCGACCTGGGCTCCGGAGACGCTGTGTCCATTGGAAAGAAGAACGGAGCTCCCGTGAGAGGCAGGTCCAAGGCCTCGCACTTATCACCCACCTGAGGAATTCCAAAGCCCAGGAAGTCTCGGATGAGCTCCGGAGCTCCCTGGAAGCAGGGACCCTGGCACCTGGCGTTGGGGCACCCTGGGCCGCTCCGATTCGGGTTTGGGCAGGTGCTGGATAGTCAAAAAAAGTCACAGCTGAGGCCACCACCTTCCCCATATACAACACAGGGGGGGACTCCCCACGCGCATCCTCCTGCTCCCGGGAGCGCGCGGCCCTATCCCGGGATAGGGAAACCGTGGTTGCAAACGGGCATCAGGCCCGGGATTTGTTGGGATGCGGGCAGCAAATCCCAAGGGGCCGGCAGTGCCGGGAACGGGCGCTCGCGTAAACAAGCGGAGGGAGCGTCGAGCCGGGACACCGGGACCGTCCCGGCAGCGCCGGTGGCACCCGTGGAGTCCCGGCCGGGAGAGCCCCTCGGGATGCTCCAGGGGGTGGGAAGCACCGGAGCGACAGCAAACGGCTCGGGATGAGCAGGGCACCCCGGGCCCCGCTGCCCGCCGGGCTCCAGCAGCCTCTTTTGCTTGGAAAACACCAAGGAAAGGGCCAGTTCTGCTGAAATGGGAAATCTGGGCTCCTTTCCCCTGGTGGCGGGGGGTGCGTGTTGTGCTCATCTCCTTCTTGGAACAAAAGTTCAATAAACATTTCAAAGAAATGGAGAACAGCTTTTTCCTGGGGGAAAGTCCCTTTCCAGCACGTTTCCAAGCGGAGCAGCCAGGAACGGGGCCGACGCTCCCCCCATCTCCGCGCGCGGCTCCTGTTTGCAGGAGATAAGGCCGGCGCTCGGCCGTGCCGGAGATAAGGAGCCCCCGGAGCCGGCAGGGCCCCGGGAAG